CCTGGCCCCTATTTGGGCTCAAGGCTGGGGGAGGAGGGATGGAGGGCGGTGCTTCTGTGTTATAATAGTAACACTTTTTAAAAGCATGCTTTACACTGTATGCATCAAAATATCAGGATTTGTAAGCACCATAGCTAGCTAATTCCTGGCCCGCTGGGCATTTGTGGGGAGGGCACAGTTTGAAGGGGCACCAAAGTCTAAGCCCACTGTGTCTGCCATGAGGGCCTGCCCTGGACCTGCTGGGTAACTGCAGCTTACAAAGGCCCTGGGATGCCTCTTTCCACCCTGTAATAACAGCCCAGCTTTTGCTGGCTCTGCTGTCTTGGGCTGCAGGGGCCCGTGGAGGAAGCAGCTGAGAGCGGACTCGTAGACATTCGGTGGGGTCTGCTCTTTATTTGCGTGTACCGAATGGGCTCAGTGAACTGGGGGAAACCCTCTGGGGACCCGCAGGCTCCCGGGATCCTGACAGACTCTCGTGCCCTTCGCCAGGTCCCTACCCCAGGCTGTGAGACCAGACTACCTGGTAGGCCCTATTTCTATGAAGCAGCAGGGCCACCACTAGGTGGCCTCCCAAGCTGCACCTCCTGCTCTTGGTCACTGGCTGTAGGTCAAAGCGCTGGTGGGTAGAAGCACGTCCAGTCTTTTGCTCAGTTCCCAAAGGGAAGAACCTGGAGGGGAAAGTTGGTCCCAGAGTCCCGGGACAGCTGTATGCTGAATGTGCTGAAGTGTATGGGTGGTGTCAACACACACAGTTGATTCAGGGGGACCCCGCTCTGGGGATTTCCGTGGAGAAACCACAACTCCAGCTGCTGTAGGAGTTCTCAGGACCTGCAAGAGTCATCAGCAGTCAGCAAGGCCTCAGTGCCAAGCAGTGGAGCCTGCCCACACCCACTTACCCAGGGCAGGAGTCAATCACAGAAAAGCAGGGGAGTGGGGCAGGGCAGGCTGAGGGGGCCTCTCAGAGGGAAGGGCTGCACCCCACCTGGCCTCCCATTTATTTGGTCATTTGGTTATCTGTCCACCTAACAGATATTTTGCCATCTCTTCTGGAGAAACACCAGATCTTTCCTTTGGGATGAGGGTGCCAGGCAGGCAAATCTAGCCTGCTGTGAGTAGCCACGGGCCAGGAATGTCACTAAGGGACAGCACGAGGTTGGGACCTCATTTGGCAATGCCTGTGGTCATGCTTGGCTCAAAGGCGATGGTCCATACCTGATCTTGACTAAGGGAGTTCTCTAAAACCGGGACTAGGCAGGCAGCACCTCCTGCCAGAAGCCTTCACCAGCTGGAAAGTGCTTGGTTTTGCCTTCCCTGTACAAGTTTGCTGTGTGGGCCTCTGGTCACCTGCCAGCTTTCCCCTCTGGAGAGAGCCCCTTTGACATTTCTGGTCCTTGAATCCCCAGCCAGTTCTTCAGCTGGTTCCCAGCAAAAGTTTGTGGAGTGACTGCATTATTAGCATAATAGAACCATTACCAGATGGTGTGGCTTTTTTTGCATAATGGATTTGGGGTAAAGGAGTGTGACATTGCTGTTCAAGGTGGCTGTTGACTTACTAAGTGACACATGTGGGTATGCTTAGTGAAGTCTGTTGGAGGCTGCAGTACTGGAGGGTGTCCATTTCTTCCTTCCTTCATTTGTTCATTCATATATTTTTGTTCCCTACTCCTGGTCCAGGTCCCAGGTGCCAGGCCCTATGCTAGAGATGGAGACATAGTGATGAACAGGGCAGAGACTTCCCCATCCTCAGGAAGGCAAAGTGGTGAAGGAAGTAGACATGAATGATGTTAGAAGTATGAAATTCATCCAAGAGGAACTATGGGTTCTATGCAGGGATCTGGCTCAGATTGGGCCCAGAGAAGGCTTTCAGAAGAGTGGAGTGTTTTAGGCAGGAAGTGGGGTGTTTTAGGAGAGGAGAGGAGTGTTTTAGGCAGGAAGAATGACACAATCAAAGGTCAGGGAATGAAAAATGCCCAGTGTGATAGAGCATCACGTTTGAACTGCACATGGTAAGAGAGGCCATCAGGGCTGGGTAGAGGGGATTGGTAACCTTGGTGAGAGCTGTGTCTATCCTTGGGACAGGGACACCTTTCAGAGGTTCTTTATATGGAAATGACATGATCAGAATCACATTTTAAATATGTCACTCTGCCTGTGGAGTGGTGTAAGGTTAGAGGGAGCTGAGAGGAAGCTGTTGGCCAGGATGAACTGTCCGGTGAGAGACGGTGGTGTCCTGAATTTGGGTGGAATTTGCAGGAATGGAGGGCAATAAATAGGTTGAGAGATTCACCAGTAAGATCTACAATGGGGGAACATGGTGGGGAAGAAAATGGAAAAGACTGGGAGACGTGATTTCACTTCCTGAGATACGGGAAATGCTGAAGGTGAAGCGGTCTGGGTGGTGTGGGGAGGGTATGGGGAGATAATGAGTTCACCCATCAAGTGGCCACCAAAAGTAGGCAAATGTGGGTCTGAAGTAGCCTTGGGCTGGAGACTGTAAACTAAAAATCATGGATTTACACAAGCCCAGTAGCCCCTGGTGGGTATGAGAGACTATAAGGTATAGTGGGCTGCATGGTGGTTCCTAAAAAGACATGTCTGTGTCCTAATACCTGACCCTGTGGATGTGAACTTAGTTGGAAATAGGAACTTTGCAAAGGTAACTAAGCTAAGGATAATGAGATAAGATCATCCTGATTCCCTCGTGGACCCTAAATCCAACGACAAGTATCCTTACAAGAAGATGAAGACTCTGAGGAATGAGTGGGGTCCAGTACTTTGAGGCCCTGTGGTGGCCTTAGGCAGGCCTTTGGCTACTGCTGTGTGATGCATGGCATTAGGGAGACATCCACTTGTCCTCACGTAGTCAGCAAATATTTATTGAGCCCAATTCTGTGGTAGGGGCTGAGCATACAATGATGGACAAAGTCACATATAGTTCATGTGCTCCTGGAGGTCCCAAGCCAGTGGAGGGACAGACCTTAATCAAAAAGTCATTCAACTATATCACCTATGGCAAGTATTAGAAAGCACATAGGACATGGGGGGGCTATTACAGGAGGTTTTGACCGGTCAAGGAAGTGAGGGAAATCCCTCTGAGGGGACCTTAAGGATTTAAATGGAGAGGAGGGAAATTTTTCCTATACAGAAGAAGGGCATTTGCAAAGGCCTGGGAGTGGGGTGAGGAGGACAACGGCCAGTTAGAGTGGCTGGGGGAAAGTCAGTGTGGCTAGAAAAGTGAGCAGGGGCCAAACCATATGGGGCCTCAGATTACTTTTCAGATTATTCCTAAAAACCATGCAAGTTACTGAGCTGAGAGTGACGGGTTCAGACCTGCATTTGGGGGAGGGGGAGGGGGTGTGAGGGCTGGGGCAGTGTGGAGGAGGTGGGAGGGAATAAGAATGCAGGGAGGCAGCTGGCCTAGGGCACTGAGGTGGTCAGGAGGTGAGCGGGATGGAGGGAAGTGGGTGCATCAGAGAGAGATGTGGTAGAACTGAATGGACATGGGCTATAGAAGGATAGGATCTGGGGACGAGGCAGAGGGAGGTGCTGAGCAGGATTCCCAGGCTTCTGGTTAGGTAACTGCAGCTGGGTGGCCCCTTCAGCAGGAAATATGGGAGGCAGGGAGCCAGAGAAGGGAGAGAACGTAAACCTGTGGACCCACTCAAGTGGAGATGTAGGCTTAGCTGTCAGTTACATGAGTCTGGGGCTCAGGAGTCGGGGCAAGAGTGGAGTGAAATTTGCGTGTCATGTGTGTTAAGGAAGAAATTATAGAAAGAGGAAAGTAGGGCACATAGACATGAGCTTTGAGGAACTCTTAACTTTTATTGACTTATGGGGAGATGTGGTGGCGGGGGCGATGGGGGGGGAGGCCTGGGCAGAGGCGGCCAGGTGGAAATCAAGGGAAACGAGTGATCAGGGGAAGCAGTGGACCAGTGCTGCTGGGGATCAAACGCTGCTGGGGTGGCAGCTGGATGGAGAGATCTGGAGGTTTTAGAGACTTTGAGATCTGGTGTGGTGTTGTGAGGGGGCCAGAAGGCTCACTGCAGAGGCCCGAGGAGTAGCAGGGAGGTGAGCACAAGGACATAGATCCCACTTCAGGTGATTTTGCGGTAGTGCAGAAAGAGAGACATTGCAGTAGAATGAGGGTTTTGTTTCCATACTAGAGGCTCAAACATATTTATAGGTCAGGGGAAGGATCCAGTTGAGAGGGGGAGGTTGAGCATTCTGGAGATAGAAGGGGTGATCCACTGGGTCAGCTCCTGAGAAGTGGGAGAGGATGGGAGCATCTGGGCAGGCAGAGGGAGGCTTCTGGGGCACAACAGGAGAATGTAGCAGAGGCAGGAAGGTTTCCATTTGGCTCTAGCTGAGCTGTGGCTGGTGGCTGACGAAGGCCGGAGCAATAGCTTGTTCTGTATTTCATGCTTGTTGTGTGTATTCCGTGAATGTGCTCTGGCTTCCCAGGTCTGGGCTGCCAGCCTGGATAGTGTGCCACGGGGAATATCCCGACCCGGCCTGGTGGAGGCCGGGCACGCCCACTCTGGGCTGGCTCCCTGATGAGATTCTCAGACCACGTTTCCCCTCATTCATGACCAGGAAGGTTCACAGAGCAGGCGTGGGAACCTGCTTGGCCGCCAGGGCCTCCTCCAGGTCCGGCTGTTCGCTGCATCCCTGCCTTATTACCACTGCACTGGCTACATGAGGTGCCCACCGTGTTGCACGGAAGGGTTCGGGCAAACCATGGGGCCCCTCCTCATCAACCCATTATCCACACTTACTTTACCAGAAGTGCCTGACCCGGGAGCTGGGGACAGTCTGAATCCCTTTGGGGGTTTGGTCCTGTTGGTGGACCCCAGGTCTCTTCTCCAGGGCCTCCCCGAGGTAACTGAGCTCCTGGCCCCACCTGATGGTATGATGATGGGGAGGAGACGCGGGACCCCGTGTACCCAGCAGAACCACCAAGGGAATGGGCGGGAACTGCGGCCAGAGGAGTCCACCAGCACCTAGGCGCGCTGCCCGCCCGGCACCGAGGCCAGGATGGGTCGTGGGCCGCCCCTGGGCCCCCCCTGGGAAGAGGGCGGGCCGCGCCCCACAGGTGGGGGCCGGGCGGGGCGAAGCGGGCGCGGTGTACGTGCGGCGAGCGGCGCGCGGCATGAAGGGTGCCGACCGCGGGCTCCCGGCTGGTCCCAAACGCGCTCCCGGCTCCCGCGCGGTCGCGCAGCCTCCACTTCCCGAGGGTCGCTGGCAGCGGCGACCGCCGGCCGAGGCCCTCCGCTCGCGGAGCCAAGGGCCTGGCCGGCCAGGGGGCGGGAGGTGGGGACGTGGCGGCGGCTCAAGCGGGCGGAGTCGGGCCGCGGCGGGAGGCGGGGTCGCCAGAGGAGGAGGCGCCGAGCGGGCCGGGCGCCGCCGCGGGAGGTTCTGGAAACGCCGGCAGCGGCGCGTGTCCAGGTGAGCGCCCCGCCCGCTCGGTCGCCGGTCCGCCGCCGGGCTCGAGCACAGGCCGGGGGTGCCGGGCCGTGCGTTCTGCCCGCGCGGGGCCCGGAGTTGGGGGCCGGGGGGCGCGCCGCCCGCAGCGCAAGTCGGGGCCGCAGCCCCACGCCCTCCGCGCTGTTTCCGCACGCGCCTGGGTTCCGGGCCCGCCGCCTGCGTCCCCTCCCCGAGCCCAGGGTGGTGAGGTCAGCGGCTCCTTTCCTGCCGGTCCCCGCGGCGGACGGGGCGGGGCGAGGACCTCCGCTGCCCTGCGGGTCAGGCTCCCCGGGGGTCCCAGAGGTTGGAGGTGGTGGTGCTGGTGGCCAGGCCCCGAGGGGCCGCGTAGTGCTAGTGAGGGCCAGCTTCCTCTCTCCGAGGGGCCGCGAGTCCCTGGCCTTGGCCTGGTAGGGTCCAGCTTGGTGCCCATTAAAATGGGATGTTAGATGAGAACGTTTTTTTTCCCTCCAGACATCCCTTTGAACTTGTGCTCCTTTTCCTCAGCAGCGGCAGAGACATATGCTAACTAGTTAACTGATTCAACAAACGGACCCTTCCGTGTGTCAGAAGCTGCAGGAGTTGCCAGCCCCGTGGGGCAGACAGACTGGAAGACTGGGAAAACCCAGGCTGGCAACAGCGTGGTGAGTGGTGTGCTGGGAGGGAGCTCCCGGCTGTGTGAATACCTTAGAGGACCGGATGCTTCATGCCTGGAGGACGGGACACAGGAGCCCAGGTGGTCAGATGAGGGCCGAACCAGGGGTAACCTGCTCAGAGGAACCACCTGTGTGAGTGGTAACAGAGCTGGGCACTTTGGTGGAAGCAGGGCAATGGGGCATGGCTGCCATGGACCCATCCACAAGAGCTTCAAGTGAGAGCCAGTGCCGGGTACTGTGCCCTGCATGTGGAGAGTGCTCAGTGCATCTTTGCAGGATGAATGCGGATCAGGGCACTTACTACTTCTGGACAGCATAGGTGGGCCCTTGGCCTCTCTCTTCTCATCTGACGCTTTTAAGGTGGTGTAGAACATTAGAGTCCCTCCCAAGACTGAGGCTGGTGTCTTGTGCTGCAGAGTGACACCCAAGGCTTATACTTCATGATGGAAACCATCTGAGGCCTGGCAGCCTCAGCCCTCTTGGAGGGGCTCCTGGCCCCAACAAGGGCTAGGGGACATCACTTTGTGGCTGAGGGCATTTTCAAATGTCCCTGATTTTGTAGAGATCCACTGTCCACCTAAGAATTGATAGACTGTATTTACAAGCTTCTGCTGCTTCTCAGCTCATAACACATCTGGGACAACAGGCTCCATGGTTTCGTTCTCTTAAATGAAACAAGATTTCCTTTGGCTTGTGCTGAAACTGCCTCTGAAGTGTCCAGGGTGTAGCCTCTCAGTGTGAACGACTCAGAGCCTGGCCTCTCTGTTTATTTCTCACCACTCACAAGATGTTTGGGCTTTGAATCTTTTCCTTCCAGGGCCTTTGTATTATCACACGGCCAAGTGTGTCCACTGTGCAGCCCAGCCATAGGAGCCACGTAGCAAAGATGGAGTGAGTTGGCTGAGGGGCCTCATCCCAGTGGTGCTGTCATACTGGGCCACCCTAGTTGTCTGAATGCTCAGCAGGCAGACGAGGTGACGAGTAGGCATGGTCTGTGACTTGTGGTAGGCCCTTCTGCCCTGTTGTGGGCTCTGACATGGGGTGCCTGGGAGAATGTTTACTTTGCCACTGGTTTAGCCTGGCCACAGCTGATCTCTTCATTCCTTGAGTCCTCTGGGCCTGGCTTCTGCTTAGAACGTGCCTGTGGCAGGACAGAGGGAGAGGGAACAAGAGGAGGTGACAGCAGTGGCACTCTCCTTCCTTGCCCACAGGTAACTCATACTGAGGTTGCCTAATGCTGGCTGCTGGCCATGGGCCAGGGGAGGAGCTCAGAGTGGGAGTGCTTATCTGAATGGGAACTATATGGGTGCAGCCCTGAGGAATGAGTGGGATGAGGGAATCCAGGGTCTGCTCATTTCCTCAGAAAGCCTCACTTTTCAGCTCTGCCCTCCCCCATCCTTGGGAGGGTCTGAGGCTAGATGTAAGACTTTGGCTGATGTGTGGCCATTCTGGCTGATAGTGTGTGTTGGGCTCATGGGTGTGTCCCTGGCCCCTGGGATCTGTCAGGAGTGTATTGTCTGCAGATGCATGTTGGCAGGAAATGCTGTGCCACAGGCATGCCAAAGTCCAGATGAACACTGGAAAGAAAGTTAGACTTTGAAGAATTTGCCTGAATCTGGCAATTTGGACTTTGAAGTGTCCTAGGGCGGGACATCAGCCTGTTCTAGAGCATAAAGGCCTGCTGGCTCCTGGGATCTTGGGTTTGTGCAAGGATGTGGAATGAAGAATGCAGGGTAGACTTTCTACTTTCCAAAGGAGCAGAGGAGAATGAGACTTGCCTTTTTGGAGGCCCAGAAGAGTGTGTGTTCAGGTGGTATCACTGCAGAGCATATGATGAACTGTTTGGGTAGGGAGTTCCCTGGCTCTGACACGATCTGCTTCAGCCTGATCACAGACCAGCATCTGCTATAGACCATTCGAGTAGTGCTTGCTAGAATGTTGCCTGCTCTGTACCTGGCACTCCTGAGGGCCAGGGTGGACAGAGATCCTGAAGCCTGGGACTTGCAGGAACTCAGAGTGAGCAGATCAGAGGCATAGAAATACATGAGATTCTGGAATGTGGGTCCAGTCTCCTACCTTTTGCTGAGAACTTGGCTTCCTTGGTGAGCTTTAGGCCAGTGACGGGCCAGTGCCAGGTTGTTCCTTGTGATTAGTGTGCTGCATTATGCCTGACTCCACTATCTCCTGAATTAATGTTTCCTCTCTTTTGGCACTCCTGGGATGTGGACATTGCCCAATTTCTGCCTTGTTCCTGTCTTCACGTCCCCTAGCCGGGATGTTCTTCCTGTCCAGGGACCAGCTGTTCAGCTGGTTACTCTGGCCACTGCTGTTCCTCCAGTACCTGTAGTACTCATGGCATGAATCGTGCCTGGTGCTGGGCTGTGCATTGATACTGTCTCCCACTCAGTCCTCACAACTGCCCAGTGACACGTGGGTCCTAATATCATTGTCACATAGATGGGAAACGTGAGGCGCAGAGAGACCTGTAACTTGTCTAAGGTCCCAAAGTTGGAAGAGGTGGTGGAGCTGCGATTTAACCCCTGGCTGTGTGACCTGTCGGGGGCGTCCTGCCTGCTGGGCTGTGCTGGTTGGTCATCCGTGAATGTTGTGAGTCTGGAGCAGGAGTGACTGCTCACCTGAGCTCCAGGCACCATGTGCCTGTCTTCCCATTCTTGTTGCCATCTGCCTTCCAGTGGGATCCAGCCAGGAATGTCACGAAGCTGCTTCATGAAACACAAAAACGTCCTTGACCTGGGCTTGCCTACAGTGCCAGGACAAAGTATGCCCCTCCTCTTGGGAGGCCCTCAGGTGGTAAGACAGCAGATGGTACTGAGCAGGGCTGTGTGGCAGCGACTTGTAGGGGAAGACTGTTTTGGGTCTTGAGTCTCGGCTCTGCGTTGATTTGCCATAGCATGTCAGGTCAGCAGGAAGCTCTTGCTCAGCCTTGCTTATTGGTCTTATTTATCTGTATCCGAAATGAAGATGACAGTCTATCTCATACACAAGGTTTTGGTGAGGATTAGGTGGTAGAAATGAAATATTTCTGGAAATCTCAGTAGTGGTTATCTGAGCTGAGTTCCCAGGAAGCAGAGCCCTAGGCCAAGCTTGAGTGCTTCGTGCTCTGTTGGAAGGTACAGGTGCAAGGCAGCAGGGGTGAGGGAAAAGGAAGTGAGGCAGAGAGGGAGCGGAAGTGAGCACAAGGAGGTCCTTCTGCAAGCTGGCTGGTTTGCACCCAGATGCACTAGTTCAGCCATGCAGGACATCTCTAGCGAGCTCTAAGGAAGCTCCGTGCTGCCAGATTCCCAGTGGAGGCCTAGAGCGGAAGTTCGTCTGCTGACCATGTGACCTCTGACCTTCATCGGTCAGAGTTGCCTCATGAGTTAACTTCCCCTCATCCTTGGTTATATGACCAAGGCCCTCCAGGAACTACTGGGGAGACCAGTGTGGCACTGCACTGGAGTTGAATTAGTTGGGGACCCAGAGATTTGGGGCCTGCATTGGGTCTGAGGCAGGGGACGGCTGAGGCCAGGAGAGTATGAGCATGTGTGTCAGCTGCGCCCAGCACAGTGGCCGCTGGTTTTGTCCTCGTGTGCAGTGCCCTCTTGTGAGTTGTGCCTAGACAGCCAAGTTGCTGCCAACACTGGGACTGGAAGCCCAGCGAGGGCTTTGCATGTCAATTTTTACAACCTTCTGTGCTACTTCATTGCCTGGTTACTGAAGAAGGATTCTGCGGTTTGGATGGTACCTAAGTGGAAGAACAAATCACCATGTTCATGAACCGAATAAAGTCTGTGTATAGCCATAGATGAGCATCTATGCTTCGCTAAGTTCTCAGTGAAGGAGAATAGTCTGCTTGTGAGGGTAGTAGCTGAAGATACAAAGCCTGGAGTTATGAGATGTGGCTGGAGAGGGTGGTAGGGTCAGGTCACACAGAGTCAAAAAGGCCCTTAGGGCTAAGGAATTTGGACTTTACCCTGGGGCTCGTGGACAACCTGTGGAGGGTTCTCAGGGAGAGAGAGGCCAAACAAGGGGCTGCAGTGAGGCATTCTGGCTACTCGGTACAGCAGAGGTGGGAGGCAGGCCAGGTAAGGGGAGAGGCCAGTGCAGGTAGGGGCCAGGATGGCTGCAGGAGACAAGTAGGGGTGGCTTAGACCAGGGGGTGCTGAGGCATGACAGGTAGGGATAGCAGGGTGTCTCCCATCCTTCACTGGGGGGCCAGTTCCAGCAGCCTGTGGGCCTGAGTGGACATCCATGTGCTCAGGTGGCAGGGCGTCCTGGCTCCTTCTAAGCTGAGCCTGCAGGTCCATCCCAGAGCTGGCTGCACAGCTGGGAGGCAGGGCCACCTGGGGGCAGCCCTTTTGAGGCAGGTTTGCCCTTCACAGAAGGCAGGCAGCCTCTTGTTTAGTGCCAAGCAAGACCTGTTTGTTCTCAGCAAAGCCATGTTCTGTCTCTAGGCTGTTAAATACATTGTTAAAAATTCATGCTGTTGCATTTGGGTTGCAGCTGGGAGCTTGGCAGAGATTCCTGCCTGGTGAGGTAAGGGGAGAAGCTAGGGACTCTGCTGGGTTGCAGCTGGAAACAAATTTCCACAGCCATTTGGCCAGATTATAAATGTCCTTTCCAAAGGCAGGCTTGTTTGGGCCTCTGATTGTATGTCTTGGAATTGCCCTGTGCTTAGGAACAGTGCCGGTCACCTGGTGAGTGAATGAATCACTGTTGCTGGGGTGTTGGCGGGCTTCGGAGGACCTCCCCATCAGGATCCAGACTCAGGCTGCCAGGGCTGCTTTGAAGTCCTTTTCGGGGGGACTGCCTTGTGTTCTTTGTGTTTTAGGCATGTGTGTTTAGGCATGTTACAGAATATTCTAAATTTCCCATAGAGCTCCTTACAGAAAAATTAGGAAATACTTATAAACATAAAGAGAAAAATAAAATTATTTCAGCAAGGTACAGCTAGTTTTGTGATTTTTCTTGAATGTATATGTGCATATATATGTATATATATTTATAATTATTTCTTGTGAAAGTGAAATCATGGAGAACATATTGTTTTGGAACCTGCTTTTCTCACTCAACAGTATGCTTTGATCTTCTCTCCATGTTCATATGCAGACAGTACCCTTTCTTACACAGTCCATAACAATCCATTGTGTTGAAGAAAGGTAACATCTTCTGCTGTAGTTTCCTGCTTGCACAGTTCTTGGTGGAGTATTACTGCCTGGGTGTCTGATACGGGCCAGACAGTGTTGTGAACTCGGGACACTACTCAGATGAAACTCGGCATTGTTTTTCAGCTTGGGCCTGGTGCCACTTGGTTTCTCATAAGAGGAGGTTCAATAATTGCCCATTTCCAGGCCTATTCAGCATGGATCTCTGAGGGCTCCTGGTGGGGGGGAGCTTTCAACAGCAGTGGATGCTTTGTGGGGGCACTGGGCAGGCGCATGTCCCCCCACCTGCCTTGTCCAAGGCAAGCCACGGGTCTAGGTATGAGATGGGATTGGGAGACATGCAGCTCATCAGCCTTTCCAGAATGTGGGACACAGTCCCTCTGGGATGCTGCCTTCTCCCCACCTGGCCCTGATTAGATGACCTTTGGTGCAAAGCCTTTAGTGTTTAGGGGCCCAGGATTAGGAGCAATGGGGTGGGGTACCACAGCGTCCCTGCCTGGGGTGGCTGTGGTGACTGTGGCAGCCTGGAGGCTGCTCTGGGGTGCTCAGCTCTCCGGGCCAGCAGAGTCATCGTCCCTGTCCTCCGTCAGAGCAGTACTTCGCAGGCTCTTGGTGAGCCATTTCCCAGAACCCCAGCTGTGATTCTTTGGGGCTTTGCCTCCAGGCTGGGATTTGTGGATGAGCTCAGGCAAAGCCAGATAGCACATTCCAGAGAAATGACAGCTGGTATTCATGTAAGGAAAGAAGCTGCCTGCTTTTTCCTGAGTGCTGTAAGGCATGAACCATGGATAGTATCACCAGGGTGATTTGAAAGGAGCAGAGAGGCTTCTCCCTCCTTGAACTTGTTACCTCATCTCTGAAGAGGTGGGTCCCTGCCTCTGGCCACATACTGGGGAGAAGCACTGTGGCCCCTATGGCCAACTGTATCTGGTCTGGTCTCCTGCCTGGGCCCCGTGTCCCACCACTCCAGCCTGACAGACAGTTGGCTGGTCCTTCACTGTCCTAGCCAGCCTCCTGGCCGGGGGTTTTTACTGTTCCCTCCCTATGCACATACAGAAGGTGCTACCCTGGGCTTGTCAGGCCCCTTGAGGTGCAAGGAACAGACACTACTCCCTGTCAGAGGTGCTTGTGTAAGGGAGAAGAGAGGATTTCTGGAATCCTTGGGTAGAGATACAGTGTGGTAAGGCCTGGCAGCAGACCTGTGGTTGGAACAGGGAGGCCCTGGGCTCCATGCAGGCCAGCCTGGGCCTGCTCACTTCTCTCAGGGACTTGCTTGCCTCTGCTGCTCTAACTCCTTAATGGGTCCCTGAGCCCAGTACTCCCTCTCCTGCAGCAGATTCAGGACTGAAGGGTCTTGTCCTGTGTGTCTCTGGGTCCCCAACACCTAGGGCACTGATGGGTGTGCTGCCAACTCTGCAGACTTTGGCAGGGCATGGACAAATGGGGTCATTCACATATTCTCTCCTCTCCCTCATAGAGGAGCCCATTTGGCTGTGGTGGTTGTGGTTGGGCTTCTCTGAGCCTAACTTGGAACCGCAGTGGATCAGAATTTCTTCTGAAGGGGTGAGGTGAGGAATGGTGGGCGGGACTGTGTATCCGAATGACCAGCGCGGGCCAGATTGGTGAAATGGCATTAGCTCAGACTTAGAATTCTGTCAGATAAGGCTTAACATTGGCAGGCGGGGTAAGGAAGCATTTGCATTTCCTTTGTTTTTCTCTTCTAAATTTGAAGTGGGGCTTGGCTGAAACAGAGCAGGAAGAGAAGGGACAGCAGTGCTATGCTCAGCTGGGTGCAGGTCCTCCAGCGTACTTGGCCGCGTGGCCAGGCTGGAAGACTGTGTCTGAGGCCGCCATTGTGTACTTAGGTCTGCTGCCAGTGGTCCTTACCCGAGTTGTGCCTGCTGCTTTCAGAGCTGGGCCTGGCTATTTCTAGGCTGGTGAGAAGACAGCTGCTGGCATCTCACCCGTGTCAGCAGTCCAGCCTGAGGTTTTGGCCCTTTGTGGCCTATTCACTTCTGTGTGCCGAGTGCCTAGCTCAGTGCCTGCCTGTGTGGCTCTTCAGTGAGTATTTGTAAATGGTGGCTCGCTGATGAGGACAGCGTCTGCCGAGGAGCCTCCCCACAGGAAGGGCAGTGTCTGCCCTGAGTGCCGAGCCTCAGACTGCTCTCGCTGTCACCAGGGGCAAAGACGGCAGGGGCAGTTTCATCCCTCTTCTGGCCCCATATCTTCTGCATACCTCATTTTGGGGACGCATACCCTGTGTCAAGTTCTCTTTCTGTCATTGGCTCTCTGTATTTTCAGCCTCCTTGTGGGCAGGGGCTGTGTGTTGCATTTGCGTCCCCAGTACCAGGCACTGTCCTGGCACAAGTGTTGGAAGAAAAGGCAGACACAGACAAGGCAGCCTGTGAAACCAGCAGGGGTGGGCCAGAAGCTTGTCAGACAGACTGCTAGAACCAGAGGTGACTGTCCCCCGTGTGACACAGCCTTCCCACAGTGCCGGTGGTTGCCAGGAGCTGAGAGGACAGAGGGTCCCCCAAGGGCCCATGGCCTCCCAGAGTGGGAGCCAGAACTGAGCACCCATCACTGGTTCGAAACTCTGGCCTCTTTTCTCTGTTGATCCTGAATATCCTCAGCTTCTGTGCGCTGGGTGAGGATTTCAGCACGTTTGACTGTGTGTATGTGTGTGCACATGGGTGTGTCTTCTCACCCACATTGCTTTTTCCCACTGTCATTGAATGCCTTGCAGGCATTGCTTGCTGTGACCATGAAGCTCTGGGTGTCTACATTGATGGTGGCCTGGTCCGGTGTCCTGGGCTGTGTGCAGGCTGAATTCTTCACCTCTATTGGTACGTGCAGCAGGACCGTCATCTACCAGAACAGTCCTTGGGTCAGGTGCCGGGGATGTCGCAACCTGAGGTCTGTCCTTGCTCAAGGTGGCTCGGCCTCATCTGCTGGTTTTGACCATTCTGGGGAGAGTTGGGCTGGCAGAGCTGCCCCACTGAGGCCCTATGACCTGAATGTCCTTCCTGGGAGTGGCTGGCCCTGGGCGGTGCGGGCTGCTCCAGGGCTGCCTGGCTTTTCTGACGGTCTTTCTCTCAGACCAGGCAATGGTTCTGAGTGCAGAAGCTCTCAGGGTGTCCATGCTCCTGTGTGGGGCTGCTTCTTAAGGCCCCCCACTCCCACCCACTTGCACTTATCCTAGCATCCCCTTCGGGCCTCTGCCTCTCTCATCCTGAACCCCGGGGCCAGGACCATGTGAGTGCGTAGGCCCCTTCTGACTCCCAAGACTCCATGGTCCCCAGAAAGCTGACACATCCTTAGCCCAGAGGAGTTTTGTGCCGGTGTTCTGGGACTCAAGGAAGGGACTTGAGGTTCCTCATCCATTTCTTCCGGTTCTTTTTCCTCTCTCTTGCAGGGCACATGACAGACCTGATTTATGCAGAGAAGGACCTGGTGCAGTCTCTGAAGGAGTACATCCTTGTGGAGGAAGCCAAGCTCTCCAAGATTAAGAGGTCTGATGTCTAAAGTCCTCACACTCACCCCGAGTTAGTGCTCCTGCCCCCTCAGGAACCACCCAGGGTACCCGTGAGAGGAGGCCCTTGAGAGGGCAAAGTGGGGCTGGACTGGGGTTTACTTTGGGCCAGTCCCCGAGAGTGGCTAAGGGCTCACTGCTTTTTGCCTTCTATTTAAGAGGCTTTTTGCATACATTGTGGTTCCCAGGTCTGATCTAGGTGAAGGGGCTAGAAGTATCAGAGGGGAGTTACTGTATTCATTTCTGTTGCCTATTGGTGAAAGGGCCCCACACCTCACCAGGGAAATTGCCATAGGTCAAGACCTGTGTGAGTGGGTGTTTTAAGTCTTCTTTTCCTCTGGTTCCATAGCTGGGCCAACAAAATGGAAGCCCTGACCAGCAAGTCAGCTGCTGACCCTGAGGGCTACCTGGCCCACCCCGTGAATGCCTATAAACTGGTGAAGCGGCTGAACACAGACTGGCCCGCCCTGGAGGACCTTGTCCTGCAGGACTCGGCTGCAGGTGGGAGACAGTGATGCAGAGCCTGGGTGAGCCGGCTGTGTGCTCACGTCTGGGGATGTGTGTCTGAGCCGGTTTTGGGTCTGGGTGTTGGTGGGCATGTGCAGTGTGTGAACATGGGCCCTGCCAGTCCTGTGGCTCTGGCCCCTCTCTGTGGTGATCTGGCAATTGGCTGTCCTTGTTTTTAGCATGTGATAATGATCAGTTCTTGCCTTTTCCTAGTGTTTTCACTTCCCTTTTTTTGGTAGTGAATTTTTTCTAATTACATTTTATTAATACATTTTTATGGAAAAGTTGGAAAGCTAAAAAAATTACAGTTCTTAATCTAGTTGCCAAGAGATAAGTACTATTAAAATCCAGTCTTTCTACACATGCATATACATTTAAAAAAATGTGTATTCATACATACAAGGGAATGCAAACTCACTTGCTTAGAGGGACCAAATGACTGAATAAAAGGGAATTAAGTGGGCTGGGTGGTGGGGCCAGCACAAGCTGGGGAGCTTGGTCCTCATCTAATTCCTTCCCATATCTGTTGGCAGACTAGTGACATGGCATGTACTGTTTTTCTGAATTTTCCAGCTTCTCTAATCTTCCATTAAATGTTGTACTGCAACATGATTTTAATGGCTGGGCAGTAATTTGTCATACTGATATAGTATAAAACTAGTCAGGTCAGTGGATGTGGGATTATTTCCAAATTATCAGCAATCTTGCACATATACCTTTTGTTCCCACTTCTGTTTTCTTAGGATAAATTCCTAGAAGTGCTTTTTTAAACTTTAACTATGTTTGGTGCTTTTTACTCTGGCAGTACACTCCATGCTCTAACACTTTCCTCTCAGTAGGAGATGGTGGGGTGGGCCTAGAGGTGGGCCCTCCTGACTTCCAGCTCTGGGCTCAGCCCCCTGCACTCCCTGCGTCCTCTCCCTGAATTGGGAGTGCTGACTGTCTTGGGATGAGTTGTCTCTCTGGCTCAGGCATTTCAGTCCCTGTGGCCAGACTGGGCTGGGCTTGGCTGGGGGCAGGGTGGCCTCTGGGGAGGGACTGGTGAGCTCAGTCAGCTTGGAGCTTTGCCCAGACCGCTCACGGCCTCCAGAAGCCATGGCTGCCTTTCCCAGACCCTTGTCTCCCAGCCTGGGCCTGTAGCTCAGAACTGGTTGTTCTTTCTGTACTGCGGGTGAATAAGCCTGTCTGGATGACCTCCTGTTCTCCAGCCTTGTTTGCTACACATCACCATCAACATCTGGTTCCTTTAGAAAACTATAATTACCTGACGGGAGCCAGGACAGGCCCAGAGAGCAGTAGCTTTTTTTCACCTCTGACTTCAGAGTTCTTGCCCCTGAAATGAGTTGGGGCATGCTGGTGGTGTTGCTTTTTCTGGGGTTATGGTTTCTTTTTTCCTGGACCCTAAACTCTTAAGAGTCCCTGACCGTGCAGCTCTAAGGACCATACAGCTCCTTGGGCCTTGGGATCCCAGGCCTGGCTAGAAGTAGGGGTTTGAGCCTGAGGCTGTGGGTCCTGCTGTTCTCGGTAAGCGGCCAGAAGAGAAATGGCCTTGAAGTTCCCCTCCCAATTCTCAGCTCATAGGGAGAATTGAAGCCCCTGAATCAGCATGGTGGGGAGGGTTTTGCCCCCACCTGGGACCTGAGCTTGCAGGAGGTGCATATCTTGCTTTACAGCTAGAGCTTAGGGTCCCAGAATAGCCTCCTTGGGTACTTCTGTGGTCAGGGGCTCTCCTAGACTTCAGGCATGGTCTTGAGCCTTGCAGCCTGGGAGCTCATGCTCTGAGTTCTTTGCAGGTCTGAGTGGTGGGAGTACCATAGAGAGCAGAGCAGAGCCCTGTGGGGTCTCTCGGGGGACTGTTATTAGCTTGTGCAGCCCCACCTCAACACTTGGCCTGAATGAATGGCCCCACAGTCCCTAACCTGGGAGGTGGAGACAACACCAAATGTCTCCAGGACTGTCGTCATCACCTTTCTGGGTGGTAAGGGCCAGTGGTCAGTCATGAATGGCCAGCTGGGTTCCCTGAGCTGACCACCTCTGTTCCTTGGGCTCCTCAACCTTAGATGTTGGCTGGAAGGTTTTGTTTACCTGGCCAGCCCAGTAGTCCTGAATCCAGGTTTTCCATGTGACTCATTTACTGCTGAATGGTTAGCAAGTCCTCTCTGAGTTCTCTCCTGTGTCTCCCTCTCTGTCCTCTGTCCCTTCTTTCTCTCCCAGGTCTAATTCAGTGCTTGGAGCCCTGACTCCCACTTGTTAACCAATGGGTAAGGCCATTTCTGTTCAGTTCCAATGAGCAGTGCTGGCAGCCAGTGTGGTGAGGCATAAGAAAGGAGAGATTGCTGTGGCCTGGAGCCACTGGGGAGGCTTCCTGGAGGAAGGGAAGATAGCCTCTGAAGGAAGGGGTGGGGAGATGCACTAGCCAGGGTGGGTTCCTCTCTGGTGCCAGGTGGAATTCTGTGCCAGGATCATGGGTAACCTCCTGTCCTCACTGTCTCCTTTCAAGGTTTTATTGCCAACCTCTCAGTGCAGCGGCAGTTCTTCCCCACTGATGAGGATGAGATGGGAGCTGCCAAGGCCCTGATGAGGCTTCAGGACACGTACAAGCTGGACCCGGACACGATTTCCAAAGGGGAACTTCCAGGTAACTCACCACTCTGGCATGGCCTGCCCAGCATGTGTGCCTCCTCTGGTGTCTGGACAGGGAGCCACTGCTGAGTGGTGCCCCGCCTCTGGTGCACTGCCACCCCTCGCGGTCATCCTTTCTGGGGTTTCCAGTTGGTGCCAGTCCACATTCCCGTGACAGCCGCCTCTCCTGGCCCTGGCCCTGTTGCTTCCTTCCGCTCAGGTCCAGAGAAGGTTAGGCTGCTGCTCAGGGCCCTGCCGGCCTCTGCCCCCAACACACCATTCAGATCTGTGTCCACACCCACTTGCATCTCCCACCCTCGTTTCTTCTTGCTAAAGGCTGATCTCTGGACTCATTGTTCTGAGTCCTGTGTCTCCTCAGGTGCATCTCTGTCCCTGTCACTCTGTGTCCAGCTCTCTGGGCTCTTCCCCTGAGCTCACACCTACACCTTGTTCTCACTCATCTTACAAACTCCTCCCTCTGGATCAAAAGCCCTTCTGAGCCAATTTCTTCTTCCTCCTGGTTAGGCTGCTGGATGGAGTCATCTATCCTCTTTCTCTACTTCCTTGCTTCCCGTATCCTGAACACATGAAGTCTGGCCTCTTTCCCCACCATTTACAAGTCCAGCCCCTGCAAGGTCACTGGTGGCCACTTGGCTGGTAAAGCCAGTGCACGGGTTTCAGGCATAATGTTTAACTCTTTAGCAGCACTTGGCACATCAGTTGCCCCATTCTTCCTGATATTTCCCCTCCTCTGAATTTTGGGACACTGATCTTGGCTGCTTCTCCTTCAGCATGAGCCACTCTCCATGCCTGCCCCCCACCTTCCATTGATTACCTCAATTTATAAGAAGATATATTTAGGGGCTGTTAGAGTCCCTAAGCCCAGGGATTAAGTTAGATCCCCATTAGACCTTGGATGCCTGGGACCCTGGGGGAAGCATGAGCAGAAGGAATGACAGTGTGTGGGAGGAAGAGGCACCCTGATGTGGGTGAGTCAAGGCCTGGAGCCCTAGTACTGAGGCGTCTTGTGAGCCAACAGGACTGGGGTGTAGACCTCCTTGTTCTTACCAAGCCAGGCCATGAGGCCAGAGAGGGAGAAGGCAGCTCAGGGCACCTGCAGGATCTTCTCACCTTGTAGCTGTGAGAATGTTTGGTGGGGAGAGAGAGCCACATGTGGGCACCGACCTTTTACATTCAGTTAACAGACCCATGTGTGTCCTGGAGGAGCAGTGAGGGTTGGAAGGGAGCTATTCTCCAGAACTCCACCCCATCCTCATGTTCTCCCTAAGCACCTTCTCCAGGTGAGCCCAGCCATTCTGTCATCTGAGTTATTGCCTGTAATGCATGACATACAGATCTGTCACCAAGGCTTCTCTCCTGAGCTTCCAACCAGTGTTGGCAAATGCCTGTGGAGCATCTCCATTTGGGTGTTCCACGGGCTCCTGAAGAGTCACATGTCCCAAACAAATCCTCATCCCCTTTTGAACTGTGTGCCTTCTTTCCTCGCTCCTTATTTCAGCCAGAGCACCTCCATCCACTGGCTGCCCAAGGCGGAATCCTAAGGCCTGTGGATTCCTCCTCCTTAATGTCTTCTATATGTGGAGGCCCTGACTCCAGCCTCTTGGTCGCTTCTTTCTCAGCTGGCTTATGAAATACCATTCTGACTTGTGTACCTCCAGCTCTTTGCTTAAAATTATCCTCCATGTGGTCTGAAGCACATTTCTGTTTGCATGAGTTCCCAACCACAATGTATAACTTTCAGGACTAAACCGAAATTCCTTCTGCATGTGCCTTTGGGGCCCTGCCTGGCACCATTTCCCTGGCCTCTGTACCCCTTGTACTAAGCTTTCCTGCTGCTTAGCTCCATTGTTCACCCTGTGCCCTTTGCAGGAATGCTTTCTCACCATTCTCTGAGGCACACACTCATGGGTCCTCCCACCTCATGCCCACCTAAATCCTACATCTCCCCATAGCTAACATCCCACATCTTCTCCTCTTTGAAGCTGTCTTCATGGCCACTTTCCAGCACTGAGCCCTCAGCAGGTGACCCAGGGCCCCAGGATCTGCTGGATTGGTGCTCACCAAGGGCCTCGCCACCTAATGGCCAAAGCTGGCACTGCAGTCTTGCTCCTGGCTTCCCTCTGTTGGCTGCTTAGGGCCTCCTCCATGTTGCTTTCTCTCTGTCCTTTCTGTACAGGTGGTCTCTGGGGCTCTGGCCTCAGCCACCCTCTCTTCTCTTTCCTCACACTCTTCCTGGAAATGATTATCCTTATCTGTGGCTTCTGTTGCCACTTAAGTTCCATTTTTTATATTCAAATAATTCTTCTACCCTCCAGACTCACTTGGCCAGCTGCGCAGCAGACATCTCCTGGCCTCCTCCACAGCAAAGGCCCCTTCCCATTTGGGAAGGGGGGAGTCTGAGCCTAGGAGGTTGGCTGTGAACGCCAGCCTGAGGCAAGGCCAGCCTGGCTGTGCTCCCTTTGAGGCGTGTGGTCCAACGCCCTGGTGGGGCTTGGCTGGGCTGATGCCCCCCTTCTTGTGGCCCAGGCTTCCTCGATGAGGGACTCTCTCCCTAACCTAGAGGCTGACTCTGTGCCTTGTCTGCTGCAGGAACCAAGTACCAGGCCGTGCTGAGTGTGGATGACTGCTTTGGGATGGGCCGCTCAGCCTACAATGAGGGGGACTATTACCACACTGTGCTGTGGATGGAGCAGGTGCTGAGGCAGCTTGATGCTGGGGAGGAGGCCGCCGTGGGCAAGGCCCAGGTGCTGGACTACCTGAGTTATGCTATCTTCCAGCTGGGCGACCTGCACCGTGCCCTGGAGCTCACCCGCCGTCTGCTCTCCCTTGGTAAGGAGTTCTAGGGGAAGGTCAGATGGGGAGCTGGCAGGGAAACTGGTCCCTTTGCTGGCCACTACCTGGCCACTCTCCTGGGACTGAGCCAGTCTGAACTGTCAGCTGGCCAGTGACTGATGCCTCACTGCTTTCAGGCCCGGTCCAGCTGCCAGCTAGCTCCTTAGCTGCTTTAGTTCTGCCCTAAGCCCTTGCCCAGCTGGGAGGGGTACACTCAGGCTGCAGCACCTGCAGCCCTACACTCTTCCATTTTTAGTAGGAATCCGGTGCTACAGTGCATCCACTGCGAGGCAGGGTGCAGCCTTCACTGTGTTGGGAGAAGCTCGTAGGCAAGCTGTCTCTCAGGGTTGCTGCAGTGGCAGTGACCCCATCGTTAGTTAGAGTCCCGAGGTCTAACTGGTAGGACTTGCCACGGTGTTGGTGTTATAAGTGTCTTGTAGTGTTGGACTAAAGGAGATCAAAAGCCTTGTCTTTAAGAACCCATTAGTTCCATCTCTTATTAATAGAAGGGATATAATAGTCCAGACTTTCACAAACTGCTAAAGACTTCCCTTTGCTGCTGCTTTTCATGGGCCACAAGTCTGATACCAGCTGGCATGTGAGTGTCCTGTAAAACTGACGTGGGAAGAGAGCTTTGTAGATGCTGTTGTGTTAGTAAGGACGTTGTATGGTGAGTCGGGACACCTGGATTCCTGTTCTGTGTAACCCTAACCTAAATCTCCTCTAACACCTTTGGGTCCCTGTCTTCTCATCTGAGTGGTGGCCCAGTCATCCTGCCAGGCTTGCTGCTTTGTGTCGTGACACCCACAGGGTGAAGCTGTGGTGCTGTCCCACAGCTCTTCTGTGCCGACATTTCAGCCTGCCCTCTAGTTGTGGCCAGCATGGGACATGGTCACCAGTAATGGATGGACTCTAAGGGATGATGTGCCTGGCACACAGCGAGGCTGGGAGGAGGTGGCAGGACTCTGCACCTGTGTCCTTGGGGAGGCCTGAGCGGAGAGCCCCTTGGTGTAGCTGAGTGTCCTCTTGCTCCTTTCTCAGTACTGACCAGACTGGGCAGGAGATGTTGGCTTTTCCGCTGTGGCCAGTGGACCCTGGGCAGCTGCCCTGAAACAGCATTCAGCAGTGCACGTGAACTTCCGGGAGAGACAGCTGCTCGCAGGATAATTTCCCTAAACGGCCTAACGGGTGTTTGTGGTCTTCTTTTCCTCCTTGTTCTGTGCTTGTTCTAGACCCGAGCCATGAACGGGCTGGCGGGAATCTGCGCTACTTTGAACACTTGTTAGAGGAAGAAAGAGAAAAACTGTTATCCAATCAGACAGAAGCTGTGCCAGCAACCCGGGAAGACATCTATGAGAGGCCTGTGGACTACCTGCCCGAGAGGGATGTCTACGAGAGCCTCTGTCGTGGGGAGGGCGTCAAACTGGTAAGACGTGTGGCAGCATAGGGGCCCCGGATGTAGACCTAGACTTTGGCTCTGGACAGGCTGATTGGGGATTTCCTTTGTCTGTAGGTCATTTTCCTAACATCTTCCTCAGTTCTTTGTAGCGTCTGTTGAGGCTGATGTGTGGGTGTTCTCTGAGGTCCAGGATAGGGGCCTGTCTCCCTGATGCCCCAGGCAGTTTCAGTCCCTGACATATGGAGCTCCCTGTCCCCACCCTACATGCCCGCTTCTCCTTGGCTCCCTGTTGTGATGGAAACCATGGGTGTGGATATGCTGCAGGCCCAAGGGACATTCCGGTCTCTGTAGTAAAGATCTGGCAGTTGCTAGAGCTGCGTATTGTGGATCAGTGGCCTTTGAAAGCCCTAGATCCCAGCGCCTCCACCAGGACGTGCAGGTGAGGCACACTCTTGGCATTTGCCACGCCTGTGTCTGCGTGGCTCCCACTGACTCCTCCACCTAGAAGGGCTTCTCCCCTGCCCCCGCCTTTCTGGCCCACTCACGTCTTTGTGAAACTGCCACAGGACTTGTGGATGGGAAGTGTTCTTGGGAGTGAAGAAATGCTGCATGGTTTGTGGGATGTCATTTCATGCCAGTCAAGCTGAAGGGCTTATTTTCTTTGGTGGTGGGGTGGGAGGGAGCAGCTGCCAGCCATGGAGTATGAGACGCGCATCTGCAGCCAGCCAGTCTGGGACTGACGGGACTCAGCTCAGCGCCTGTGGCTCTGTGCTCTGCAGACGCCTCGGAGGCAGAAGAGGCTTTTCTGCAGGTACCACCATGGCAACAGGACGCCGCAGCTGCTCATCGCCCCCTTCAAGGAGGAGGACGAGTGGGACAGCCCACACATCGTCAGGTACTACGATGTCATGTCTGACGAGGAAATCGAGAGGATCAAGGAAATTGCGAAGCCCAAAGTAGGTGTCTCTGCAGTTCCTTTCAGGTGCCCCTTTCCTGGTGCCCCAGGTAGTTAGTCAGATGGCATTTGCCAGTGTCTAGCATGCATTTGCTGTTAGGTACTGGGGTACTGCATACTCAATGTGCCCTTCTGGGGTCATGGTCCCCTGGGGAAGAAAAGTGAGGAAACCAGTGTGAAAAGCCAGGTGCTCTGATAGAGGGTACACTGGGGGCACAGAGGCCCATGTGAGAAGCGTCCCTGTACCTGGTGGGGGGCTGGTGCATGGGCAAGTTTTGAGGACGTATGCCATAGGGTGCTGCCAACCTGAGCACTGTGGGGCTCAGCAGGATTGCAGAGGAAGTGCTGGACCAGGAGGAGAATGAACATTTTTGCAGCACCCTAATCATCCGAGAGCATTCTGGGTCTCTCCCTTGATTCAGATCTTGTGAAAGTTTTTCATATAAGCCCTGCACATTTTCTGTTAAGTTTCTTCCTAGATAGTTTCGTCCGTATGTCTTGTTTTTTCACTTTGTTTTTCTTCATTATATTTTTATTGGTTACATTTTTGTAGTAGTTTACTGTTACATGTTAAGTGGTTGATTGTAAAAACATACTTTGTAGTAATAGCTTATGTTTAGTTTACTGAGTCCTTAATTGTGACAAGCCCTGTTTAAGTGCTTAACGTGGATTAACTATTACATCTGCTAAGCATGCCCTGTGATTATCTTCATTGTACCCATGAGGAAGCTGAGAGTTGTGCATACTGCAACTAGTTGGTGAATTCATTTATTCCTTTTTAGGTTTTTAGCAATTGACTTCAGGTGTCCAGAAAGTATCACCTGCAAATAAGGCGGATTTTGTTTTCTCTTTCCTAATAGTTGTAGTTCCTTTGCTTTTATTGCCTTGTTGAACTGGCCAGAACTTCTAGAGCTTTGTTAAATCAGTCATTCTTATATTCCTGGATTTCCTGGACATCTCTCTGCTGTTTCACTGCTAGGTCTACTGTTGGCTGTTGGTTTTATATACATGTCATTAGGCTATAAAATAATAATTCTGTCTCTAGTTCATAACAGATTTGCTCCCATTTGGCATCTCTTAAGGAGAACTCCTTGCTGCCATGTCCCCAGGTTTCTGTCACTGGCGATTAGGAGGGAGGCTGTCTTGCCAATGGGTTTCAGCCCCGGCCAAGTTCACTATGGATTCAATGTGACCAAAAAAATGACAGTAGAATGTTCTTGGGGTGAAAGGGTTTATACCCAACTTTATTCCATTTGCATGGTGGCAGGTCAATCACCAGAATCCTGTCCACTCAGAGCAAGTCAGCATGCAGCAAGCTGGTGTCTGCCTCTGGGCCCTTCTGCCCGCCCAGCTGTCCTCTGGGCCTCTGTCCTCAGTGCTGCCACCACTCCAGCCTCTGCTCCGCTCTCCTGCAGCCTTGTACCTGTGCCACCCTGTTGCCCAGAGCACTGGGCAGAACTCTTTATATCGAGTCAATAACAATGTATTGCCCACATGTGTGTAGTGAGCTAGCCCACCAGGGCCAGGTGAGAATCCTGGCTACAGGAGCCTTCACTTTATGCACAGAGGCTTTGGCTGGGTGCTCTGTTGCTCTGCCCTTCATAGAACTGTAGGGCCTGGAGGCCCAATGTGCACAGAGACACTTGTGATAGGGGCCTTTGCTGGCCCCTGCACTCACCCTGGACCAACCTTTGCCTGGGATGCCAGGACACCTTGGGCTCAGAGTCACTTGTTGTGTCAGTGTGGTAGAGAATGGGAACCAGGACCCCGCTTTTTACTCCCTGGATCCTAAGTCCTCTAAAGAAAACCACTTCCCTTGCTGCTGGGCAGGAGACACACCATTAAGCCAGAACCTTGGGAGAGAGTCCTCACTTAAACCTCTGACCAAGGCACTGCGACATTTCTCTGTGTGCATGTGTGTGTGGCACAGCAGTGTCAGGGGAGTGTTGGGAAAACTTGGTTTGAACAGAAGCTGTGTGAAGAGCCTGACATGCAGGCCATTACAGTCTGACCTCTCCTTTCTGGGACCTCTGAGAGACAGATGCTGCTCTGGCTTTGAAGTAGGGCCCATGAGCTTAGTGTGGCCTCTAGGGAATGCCTGGCAGCTGCCGTTGGGCCCCTGGCCTGCTTTCAGAATAGCTCTGTGTGTCCCTGGGAGCAGAGCACAGCTGCCCAGAGCCTCCTGTGGGTGTCACACCCATGCCAGGCCTCAGATGTTTGAGTGGGGTCATCAGGGAGGCGCTGTAGCTGCAGCTCAGGGAAGCCCTCTGCCCTGGGGGCACATCCTGTGAGAACGTGCTACTGCGGCTCCGCATCCATGCTGGTCAAGCTCACCTCCCTGCCAGCCTCTGATCCATCTGCCCCTCTCCATCCATACCTCCTGTCGGCCCTTGCTCAGGCCACTGTCACGCCCTTCCCTGTCCTCCTTGTTCCCACTCCAGCCTCTCCTTAGTCAGCCTGCTATGAGGTGCCCACGGTGATCCTTCTTACTTTCCCCAGTGAGTGTCCCTCCCCTGCAGGAACAAGCCTCCCCTGTTCTCAGTAGCCACAAGATTGCATCCAGGTCCAGCCCCCACTTCCATCTTCAGCCTGTTCTCGTCTTTTACCTCCAATTTGTAATTGGAGTGACACAGTCACAGTGTCACACTCATTTTCATCCCATCTGGCATCTGTATTTGCCATTCCCTTCCTGTTCTTGTAATGTTCCCCCACTAACTCCTCCTTACTCTTCATGTCTCAGCTAGCTGGTCCCCTCCTGTGGGAAACCATTTTGACCTTATAGACTGACCTCCCGAATACATTAAGCCCACCCCCTGCCAGCTGTCACCATGCTGGGCTGCAGTTACCCAGCTAGTTTTCTGTCTTCCCCACTTAACTGAGTCATTCATATGAGAGCAGGGGCCATGTCTTGGTCACGCAGCACAGTGCCAGGCACGTACAGGGGAGGGGCTGTAGGGTTCGAGGTACCTGGGTCCATGGCCTGCCCACGTGAGGGCACTAGGACAGTCTGCAGCTGAAGCCCTGGGGGCTGGCTCTGGGCCGCAGGTCCTCTGGATGGATCACGGCCCCTGTCTGTGGAGATGTGGAGATGAGCTAGGTGAGTGGGTGGTTTGTGTGAGCGTGTGTGTGGAGGTGGGTGGCTTCCAGGAAGCAGTTCATTTCCTCCAACTTGCAGAGAGCCCTTTCCTGACTGTGGTGCCTTCCCTCATGAGGCCCCCAAGTGGGTGGAGCTGCACCTCCTGCCTCTGCCCCCGCAGCAGTGGAAACCCAGGGGGCGGGCGCAGCAGGGGTGTTTGGGCAGGTTTCTTGGCAGAGGAGGCTGCTGAGGTGCAGCAGGACAGTGCACTCGAGCAAGGTGAGAGGAGTGTGTGGGGTCGAGGCTCAGGGGTGGTGGGAGCAGCCAGGTGCAGGCCGTGCTCAGGCAGGGTGGCAGGTGGGCCTGGGTGGGTGGACAAAGCAGATGCCATAGACCTAATTCTGCAGACTGCCCAGACCTGGGTGGGAGCAGAGGTGGGCAGTGACTGAGTAGGACAGTGGCCAGCCTCTGACAACAGAGCAGGAATGTGGTGTCCTCAGATGACTGCCCTGTCCTGGCTTGCAGGATCATGGGGCCGTAGCTAGAGCCACTGCCTGCAGTTTGTTTTGTACTGGCTAGACTGGCAGACCTGGTTCAGGTCTCCAGGAAAACACTCAAGGCAAAGAAGGGTAAGTCGCCCTCTCTCTCTGTTTTCCAGCTTGCACGAGCCACTGTTCGTGATCCCAAGACAGGCGTCCTCACTGTTGCCAGCTACAGAGTTTCCAAAAGGTTAGCTGGGGCGGTGAGGATGGGGGAGCAGGGTGGCGGTGAGGGCTGCTTAAGCCCCAGCTCAGGGCCTCCCGTTTCTCTGTCCTGGGCCTGTCCTGCTGTGGCGCCTCTCCTCAGAGCCCTCGTCCTGCGCCACCTGCCTGTTAGTGCTGGCTCTGATTGGGGGTTGTGCGAGCCCTCCGCTAAGGCTGGCTTCCCATAGTCCTGTCTCTCCCTTTTCTTTTGGCTTAGCTCCTGGCTGGAGGAGAATGATGACCCTGTTGTGGCACGAGTGAATCGTCGAATGCAGCACATCACAGGACTCACAGTGACGACAGCAGAATTGTTGCAGGTAGGCTAGTCTCTGGGGCCCTGCGGGTTGGGCAGCGGGCATTTCTTGCTAATGGTCTCCCAGGGTGCCTGGGCCAGGCATACAGAGGCTTGTCCAATAAGCTGTGTGATGGCACAGTACTGTGAATATGGAGTGACCTCACATGGGGAAGCCAGAATTAAGCATGCCCACAGCACTCAACAGTTAGCATTCAACAAGTATCTGTGGATATCTTCTGTATGCCCGGGTATCATATGAGGGGCTAGGGGTTGGTGGTGGGCATGGCAGGCCCATTCATGTCTTCTTGATTGCAGAAGCTGAAATCCTCAGTTGTTCCAGGGCCACCTCTAAGAGAGCTATAAATATATTCAGAGGTCGTGCTTCTGAGTCATAGTCAGATGCACTTGGAGGTGAAGTTCTGTGGTATGTTGGAAAGAAGTGAAAGGCCTGGAGCAGCTGGCTGATGGAGGTGGAATGTTCTTTTCAGAGTCCCTGCTGTGGAACCTTGGCTTCCTACCTTTATTTCAAAGGTGATCGTGAAGACACATGGCGGCACCATGCTCAAAAGCTTTGGATAAAGCTCCTAAAACTGTACCCTGTGGTCTGTTCAGTTCAAATCAGCACTGGCCGTGCCCTTCCTGAACACTGGAACTTCTGGGTTCTTTGTAAAGTGATGCCCTGATATATTTTTAAGTAAGTTCTGCAGACAAGCACATCATAAAGGACGTGTGCCCCTTCCTTATGTGTGAGAACACCACTATTCTGGAGCAGCAGGGGCTTTCTGTGCACTAGGTGTGTCCCTGTGGGCTCTGCTGTGATGCAGGTCCTTCTAGAGGAGGGTTTTTTTTGTTGTTGTTAAGGCATCTGCCACTGCTTCCTGCACAGTCAGGGCCAATGTTGGGACTCTGGTGGCTCTGATCGAGGATGACATTCAGCTGATTGGCTGAAGCCACACCCTGGACTAAGGTGCTGAGGAGAGGATAGGACCTGGGCCCTTGTTGCTTTCTGGGCAGACTTCCCAGCTGAGCCTCCTGCCAGCTCTCACATGCAACCCTGGAAGACAGCAGCTGTGTGGTTGGACCGGCTTCTCTGCCACAACACTGGCTCCATCTTACCTGGCCTCCCATCACATAGCTCGACTGATGACAGGTCTGAATGCCAGAGCTCCCAGGAAGGGCTCTTCTGGGAGGGAGCTCTTCTAGCTGCCTGGCACTGAGATACCATTTTTGTTTGCTTTCTTACTCTAGGGACTGTTTTGCCATTTTCTTTGCCAGCCAACAGTGTTCAAACCTGTGATCCCACATGGTCTGGGGGACCAGAGGCTGGGTTTTGGCACCCATCTCTAAGTGCTCATTCTGCGTGGCCTGCTGGCAGTGTGATGGGTGCCCATGCACCAGCGATGACCTTCACACTGGGGTCCCTCTGAGAACCACACAGGCTTCTAGAAAGGGGCTGCTGCCTGTTGACACTCTATCAGCTGTAGTTGGTGTGCTTGTTTATATCGTTCAGAAGAAAAAAGCCAGTTGAGGCTTTCTTTTGATTTGGATGAGGGCCTGTCTGATAGAGCACGAGATGCTACACTGCCAGAAATCTAAGATTAAAGACGCTTCTGAGTCAATGTCTCAGCGTCACCAAAGAAGTGGTTTCTAGCCCCCTTTTTTTCACATTCACTTTCAGACTTCAGTATCATAAACACCGTGTCTTTTCAAATGACTGACTCTTCTACTTCTGTAGCAACATATCTAAAGATTCAAATGAGAACATCCTCACGGAAATCCCTTTTGATGCTTGTTACTAACAGTGTGTGAGTCTACAGACTGAAGTTTGCCTAGATGGTGAATCTGATTGCTGCAAATCCCCAAGTGCCCATGACACTTGCACTATCTGCGGACAGTATAAATAGTGTAGGTACAAAGCTTCAGTACCACGGTCAGTGTGATTCCCACAGCTGTTAAAAGATGAGCCAGCTATAGCAACGCAGCTTCCTTTGCTACCTGGGTTCTGAAAGTTTAAGCACTCCAGCTTAAACTTTGCAGCTCCAGCAACAAGCAGTGATCGAATTTTCTGCAGTGCATTGGTACTCACGAAACAGTCATGATTAAAATTTTCTTCACGTTCTCAGGGTGTATCCAAAGCAGAAGCATTTGTAGCACTTTATCAGCTGGTCTAGCGCTTCCCTCCTTAGACGCACCTCCAGCCTGAGGCCACCTGCTGAACCAGGTCTCCTTGCACTTGACAGCATTTCCAGGTCTCTGCTGCAGGAATCTAGAAGACTGAAACAACATATGACAGCATATTTTCACCCACTGATTCTTTATATAAAAATTTTAATTTTGGGGACACTGAAAAATGGTGCTGCCCAAATTCTGCACTTCATCCCATTTGATAAATGTTGTTTTTTTGATCCAACAGGATTTCCTCTCTTGTAAAGTCCACCCTCCCTTTCTCTCCCTCATGTCCATAGGTCTCCATTATTGCCAATTTTGCAGCATCTCTCATCTGACTGTTGGAATCGCTCCAAAGGATACACAAAAAACACCAACTTTCTGAGGACTAATAGCTGGGCCCCAGAGGTTTTTAGGGTTTCAGTAAAATATAGTAGCCAAGTACTCCCAGAGGAACATTGCTGGTAACATTCAATCCATCTGCTTCTGTGTCAGAATCTGCACTTCATCTTGAACTTCGGCTGTTATTCCATCCACCGAAGCTAACATAACCATTGTGATTTAGGACTTGCATTGTGCTGATGAACTGTTCAGTGAGGCATTTACAATTTTAAATCCAATTAATGACTTGGTGGTTGACGAAGCTGAGGGGGCTCAGGTCCTATTCCAGGTCTGGGATCCTGATGGGGACACTGAGGTGGGGCAGCAGCTCTTGGCCACCCTGCAGCCAGCTACCTATGTCCTGGTCCTTCACTTGGCTGCAGAAGAACTCCACGAAGTGGACCACTGTGGGGTGGAGTGGGATATGTTTGCCCTGCTCAGCCTGACAGAACAGATCCTGGGGCATAATGACAGAGGTGGCAGGAACAGTGCCAGGCTCTGAGTGGCTCCCAAACAAGCATAACAAAAAAGCCTAATCCTGAATTTGTTGTTGGCTGTCCTCTGGATTTCCTTCTTATCTCCCAAGCAAACAGGGCCTGGGCCAGGGCCTGCCTCAGGACGGGCTCCCTGTGCTGCCATCTGAGTGTCCCTGAGGGGCTGAAGCTTCTCCACAGTGGCCGTTGGCAGGTCGCCCTTCTTGTTCTGTGAGGGAAGCACATTTGTGCTGCACCCTTACTCCTGGACACAGCTGTGGGTGCTTGTAGCATTTGCTCTGCCCTGCTGTCAGGGCGCAGTTACCCTCCACCTTCAGAGGCTGCACCTGTCATTCTGGTTGATACCTGGGGAGTCAGTATTCCTAGAGAGATGGGCTGCTGCAGGTCTGTTCATGCTGCTGACAAGGTCCAATGCTGTTATTTCCCACCAGGTCGCTAATTACGGAATGGGAGGACAGTACGAGCCACACTTTGACTTCTCTAGGGTAAGGCCCAATCGTAGGTACCCTGCTCCAATTGGTTTGTGAAGGCTGGAGCTGCTAGGATCCCATCAGCCCCCCACATGGTGCCCCACCTGCCTCACCACGGCCAACTCTGTTACTGAAGGGGCCCAAATCTGGAATTGGGGAGCCTGCAGGGCCTAGTGCAGCCTGGCTGCTTCCTCTGTGATGGGGGGGTGTTCCCCTTCCCCCAACTCTGTCATTCTTTGCCATGGTGTAAAGCAGAGGATCTTACTAGGTTCTGTGAAGGCTCTTCCTGCCGCTTTTCCCCCATGCCATGGCCAAGGTTTCCTTTGCAGCCATGGTCCTGGCTGATGTATGGAACGCACACTACCTTCCCTAACCCTTTTCACTCCAGTCTGGTGGGTGGGGGGAATGAAGTCAGTTGCCAACTTGGGTGAAAGTTGTTATTTGTTGCAGCGACCTTTTGACAGCGGCCTGAAAACGGAGGGGAATAGGTTAGCGACGTTTCTTAATTATGTAAGTATTGGGTCCAGGCCCACCTCTTCACTCTCACTTAATTTTATAGAGCCATGAGCAAGATGCTTTCAAGCGTTTAGGGACGGGGAATCGTGTGGCCACGTTCTTACACTACGTGAGTATGATGTATGCAGCATCTGGGCCTCGGGGAGCCTGGGTCCAGCATGCTCTTATGTCCGCGCCTGTCAGGGCTGTTACCACCAGCGGTGGCTGAAGGCTGGGTCCTCGGCCCTCAGTATCCTTCCGGGCTGGAGTAGAGAGTTGGCCTGTGTTCCCCCTACTCCCATGACCTTCCCATCCCTGGCTCCTTTCTGTTGGGGCCAGTGCTGGTCTGGACTTCAGGGATGGGTGCCCTCGAGGGTTCCCTCCTTGGTGACAGAGAGAGGAAGCAACCATGAAGTGCTCTTAAATGAAAGGTGCCTTTGTTTCCCCAGAGCTCTGTGGCCGCCTCCTGTCTGCTGCTTGTGCTCTAGCCATAGGCTGTTGGGTTTACCTCTCCCACCGGGACAGTTTCCAATCCCCTCCACTCAGAGAGCCAGACCTAAAGAGGCATAGAAGCTGTGAGGCACCTTAGAGACAGGTGCCTAGCCTTGTTCCCTTTTGGCGTCTCATTTAAGCCTTTCCGGTGCAGTTGTGTGCTGGGCCTGCCATGCACGTGCTACTGAGCGGGGCGTGTGGGGTCTGTTGTAGGGCTGGTGGTCTAATATGAGAGGCTTACTTTCAGCCTAGGAGAGGTGATTATTTAGTTACCATGGTGACAAGTGCTTTGAAAAGGCAGCTCAGGGTTGGGGTTCAGAGAAGGCCTCCCCTGGGAAGTAACATGTCAGTTGAGAGTTGAAGGTTGAGTGGAAATTAGTTTGTGGGAACATGGTTTCTGGCAGAAGAGAGATTGTGTGGACATCTAGAAGAGGGGGGAGCTTGAGAGGTTGCAAATAGGGGGAAAAGGCTGGTGTGGATCAGGGGCAGCACACGAGAGTGGCAGGAGGGAGAGGCTGAGGAAACTGACGGAGCTGCGGGTTCTAGAAAAGAGCCTGGATTTGATCCCCAGGACTATGGGAACCCATTAGGGGTCTTCATCTTACCGTATGTCTGTGGAGTGCCCTTCAGGCTGTCTGGTATGTGTTCTGTGGAAATACATTTTAGCTCCACATTTTATTATGTTATAGGCAAAAAAATTGAGGTAAGAGCCAGAAGAGAAAGAAGTGGCTGCTGTTGAGCTGTGTTCCATTTTGTTGGAGGCCACACTGTGGGAGAGAGCAGGGCCCCTGGGGACACAGCTTACCTGTTCCGCAGCTGGCCAGGGAGGTAGAGCCCATGGTGGGGGCCACAGATGGTACTGGAAGCAGCAGGGAGCCCCCCATGTATGGTGGCTTAGGCTTAAGGTTGGACGGGGACCCGAGGGGAGCGGCTCAGTCAGGAACTCTCCTAGTACAGACTCAGCTTGTTCTATGTGGGTCTCCTGCAGTGCCCAGGGTGTGGAGACTGTCCTGATGATGAAACCACCCAGATTAGGCAGGTTTTAGGGAGGGGCAGGTGGGGAAGAGCCTTCCTTGGCTGAAGGGCAGGCTGTGGAGCAGAGCCGCCAAGTGGTGCCGCCCATGCTGAGGAGGATCTGCATACCTTGTCATGTGGGCTGGGGCTCAGGCACCCCGAAAGCCTTGCGTGGAAGGGCCAACCCTCTGTGCCTTGTTTTCCCAGATGAGTGATGTAGAGGCTGGTGGTGCCACTGTCTTCCCTGATCTGGGGGCTGCGATTTGGCCTAAGAAGGTAGGTTCTAGTTGTGTGTGAGAGGTTGGAACAGGGCTCAGGCCTTGTCCAGGTCCCCACCTCCTGGTCGCATTCCCTGGCCTGGGTGACTCTCACTGTGAAGGGCGTTAGCCCCTTCCTACCTGAACTCTGATTTCAGTGCCTCAGCTTCCATCTGGGGCGATGGTTGGGGGAGGGAGGTTTCTTCAGCAGCAGGTGGGTTTCCAAACATCCCTCCACCGAGAAGGTAGCTGCTCTCTGGGGAACTCCTCTCTCCCTGGACATGCAGAGCCCTGTCCCCCCATGCATGGGAATCTGAGGGTGTTTCTGCTAAGTAAGGGCTGTGTGCTACCCGGGGTCAGGTCCTGGAGCCCAGTATCTAGGGGACTGTCTGACAGGCTGTTGCTTTTTCCTAGGGCACAGCTGTATTCTGGTACAATCTCCTGAGGAGTGGGGAAGGTGACTACCGAACAAGACATGCTGCCTGCCCCGTGCTCGTGGGCTGCAAGTGGGGTCAGTGGCTTAAGGCATGGTGCTGGCTGTGGTGGCCTCAGCCTGGGACTTGAGCTGGGAGACATCTGCTGACAGATCTTCACAGAGCCAAGACTGTCTCTCGCTTTGAGTTTGTTTGTTTTGCTAAGTGGTAGTCCTGTCCAGCTCTGTGGGTGACCACTCAGCTGGTTATGTGCCAACACAGCTGGTTGGGACCATTAACAAATGCCCAGAGAGCTGAGGAAGCCCCAGGCAGGGAGTGCTGCATGGACCTCATTAAGGCCAGGATGGCTACACAGGCGAGTGGACTCTGGCAGGGGTTCTGAGGGAGCAGTCGCGGAGAACTGGTATCTGACAGTAGGGCTGACTTCAGGGAAAAGAAGAAATTGTACAAGAAATGTCAGGATACTCTACAGGGAGCTCAGGTGCCAGCAACAGTTAATGATAGGACGTAAGCACAGAATGTTAATGAACTAAAACTTGTGATTTGACACTACTGGGAAGATAGGAGGGGATAAGTACGTGTTTTAGGGGTAGTGTAAAAACTCCAAAGTGCAAAGGGGAGAAGCAGCACCGTAGCGTGTTGTTTAGAAACACGAGGTTGAATATCGGAAGAAAGAGCCAAAGGAGTTGAAAGGCCTCTGCAGTGGGAAGGGGTAGGTAGGAGATTGCTGTGCATCATTACAAGCGTTGTAGACAATTTGAAATTTTGAACTAAGTGTATGTATTACTTTTAAAAATTGTGTCAAATTATATTTTAAAAATACCATGACTTCATTAGCGCATTGAACTTATTGTTTTTATTCGTTATAAAACCGTCAATGTTGAGGGAAATCGTGGCTCCTGTGCATTGGAGACACAGCTTAGTGACAGCACTAGCGCCAGCTCTGCCACTCTGCGCCCCGCAGCGCACAGATGGGATCTGCTGGCCCTCCACATCCTGACAGGCTTCCTCATCCTCGTCTTCTGCCTTTCAGTCACCCCCCCACCCCCCGTAATAACATCCCAGTAATAGCAAGCTGCCTAGGGCCCTTGACACACACCAGGGTGGTTCATGCCTTGAAGTCTTTTTGTTCCTGATCCCACTTCCTAGACCCCCTTGGTATAGGACCATCTGGTCCATCTGTCTTCCCGAGATAGCTCGTACTCTGCTTCATGTCCCGGCCCTGGGGC